GTCTACCCGAATTTCAGCTACTTCACTCAAATATCGCAAAAAATTCAAATCCGCACAATAAAGAGATACCTCCAGTGATCTCCGTGAAAATAGAGAGCGATAAAATTTGATGAACCAATGCAACACCGACAAATTTCTGCAAATAAATTCAGCAATTTTTCAACGATTTGATATCTTTTATCCGCAGGATTGGCAAGACCATTCCAGCAATCAGTGGCCAAAATTTCATACGCCCAAACGCCATATCATACCAGGGCCGCCGGTTCTGAGCTGCACAGATCCAACCAGACAAAAGTTAAATCACATATTCGCTCAAACATGGCGGAATAGGGCATTGTACTGATGATTCCCACCCCATTCCGCACCGGCTCTGCCGTCTGTGTTTACAGTTTAGGGATGAAACACAGACTGGACAACAGCTAAAGCACATACATGATCGCTTATCTGGGTATCTAAACTAGCACTCCCTGCCTTCCCACAATTGACAATATTCGACTGTGTCCCTCTCACTGGCGGGCCTTTGGTGTCAAACAAACTTTCATGGTTTACACTTTTTTTTTCAAATTTCCAAAAACTTGCCCTGCTCCCCCTCCCTCCCTGCATTCACTTTTTGTGACGGACGATGTAACCCAACTGGTAGGTAACACATGCCAACACCAATCACCTGCTGTCGATGGTGCTCTCTTTCGAGGGTTTATAAGCAAGCTCATGATGGGGTTTGACTCTCTGGAATATTGTCAGTACCAATTTACTATCGAAACGAATGCAACGAATCGTACAAGGTGTCACATAATATATCAAACAATGATTTTTGGTTTTTTGTTAGAAATGGCATAAAGAACAATTGCGTCAATACCCCGGTTCCTGATTCAAACTCTGGACACCTTACGCTCGTTGAGGTTTTGCAATTTTAGTAATCTCTGACCCTTGGGGTATAAAGGCACTTCTCATGAACGCCACAGCTAGTTCAACCCACATTAGAAGCTACCTCTTCTTATCCCTAAGCTTCAGCTCCCCAGAACTTCACCACTCTTTTGTACTGCCTTTTATTAATTTACGTTTCGTTGTCCA